CCTTTGCCACTCAGCGTCATTAGTCACAAAGTGAGCCTGTGTACAATCATGTGTACGGAGACAAGCCCTAGCTAGTTTCGTTATTGTCGAGTTACTTCCGTTCTTTGCATTCATTTTGTTGTTGGACACAACGAGGTTTGTCGAGGGTACCAAGAACTAGAAAGACTACTCTGTCGTCTGCTTTTACACCCTGATCTGAACTGTACAAGTTTTGATAATTGTCATAAATGATTGAGAAAATTGTCCCAACACTTGAGAAGTAGATTTATTTGTCCTTATGTTCACAGTAAAGTACACGTTCGTCCTTGGTCCATGACCATGATTCGCACCATGGCCATTGCCAATCATCCGGCTTTGCCATCATTCTTCATCTTCGTCATCTTCTACTTTACTTTACTTTGACAACTTAGTTTTCTGTATTATTCGATATAGATCTAGATCTAGATTCTAGATCTAGATCTCTATTGAGCCTGAAATGTAAAATTTGGTGATCAAGGGAAACATTATAGTTATAGGGCCTCTATGCCATGCTCTGATTATAAATAAAATTGGCCGGCTCTATTTCTCCGAACACACTCTGGAAAATTTAACTCTATTTCTCCGCACGGTTTACATTCTCGAGATTTGTTGGTTATTTACGAATGGAGTGGCCCGTGTGTGTGTGTATAAGGTGTGAACGGGTGTCATGAAGGGATTTTTTTTGCTTACATTACATACATGAAGAATTATAATTTTAGTTTCAGAGTTTTTGCTTAGACTTTAGAGGTGACTAAATGCAAAATAGATCTAGATCTAGGTTACTGTCAAAGTCGAGCAGTCTTGTCAAGTTTTCTTGCAGTACTTTTATTTGAAGGCATTTTCAAATGAAATATATTCTGGGAACGTTGCCCTAACCACAATTGAAATATCTGAATATTCAGACATTCTTTTTAAAAATCTCTAGATCTAGATCTAGATTCTAGCTCTAGAAATTGAATTCGATTTTTTTTAAATACTTCCTCCCAGTCCTTGCAGAATGGCAGAATGAAAGATGATGCTGAAATAATCTCAAATAACCAAAAAATCTTGAGAACGAAAACCGTTCGGATAAATAGAGGTTAACTTTATTTTCCAGAGCGTTCTGAGAAATAGTCACTTCGTTATAAGGGAATTATCTGCCTCTTTAGAGTAAAATGCAATTTTCAAGCCCATAGCGAACAGATTTTCAGGTCTTTTATTTTTTCTTATAAATGTGATAAAAACATGTAGTAGTGTAGCCTGCATTATGAAATTCATTTATAATGGAACATTTCCATGTCATGCCGATATGTCATGCTAGACTGTAGAAGAAATGATTATCAAAAGTCTTTTTAAGTAATTAATTATTTAATGTAGTGGTGACAATATATGCTTACCCCACTGCCTTTGGTCTGTTTTTTAAATGATCAGTACATACTAGCTTGTTCTTAGAATGTCTGGTTTCCAACTTCACCTTAGTGTCAATCTCACACCTGAATTTTTTTTTTCAAGTTTGGCACTTAACGTGCCAAAAAATAAATAAGGTATGATGAAACATTTTAAGTGTAAGAGAGGGAATCTTTGAATCCTATTCTGAGTATTACTATTCTCAAAACTATGGGCGACATCGGCGGATTAGAACCCTGTCATTCTAAAAGCATTCTGTATCTTTCACAGATTTCCTAACTTGACTGACAATGGCGGAGAATGAAGGAGGAACTGTAAACTTTGTGAAGAGCCTGTGGAATGACCCTTTCAGATGGTGAGTTTCTTAAGTTACTACATTTCTCTTTAGATTTCTCCTGGAATCTACATAAATCGTATATATATATATATATATATATATATATATTAGAGAGAGCACAGAGCTTCTCTTTAGAAATACTGTGGTTGCATTCCTGTAAGAAGTGTCGCTGGTTAGTGGGTTCTTTGAAGTGGCTCGGCTAAATGCTTCTTTTTCTGTGTCAACAGATATACATTCTAATGTTGGGGGTTTTTTGTTTGGGGGCGGGGGTGCTATTTTGTATGTGGGTTTATGAAATACTGGAGTTTTGGTACTGTGGTTAAAAAATGTTTTTTGCCATTGCATGCAGAATAAGTTCAATAATCAACTCCGAAACAGGAACTTTTATATAATTATATACTGTGATATAATTGTATCCCTCTCTTTCCAGCTTGACCCTGACAGTCAGCGTCCATAGTAACCAAAAAAATGTAGTTCACAAAGATGTCATTAATCTGTACACATCAGAGTAGATGTTTGTGTGTTGTACCACTTCTCTTGGTTATTAAACCCACAAAACACACCACCATTTACATCACTGTAGCGGATGGTGAGCAGATGCTTTGTTGTGGCTTACGTCTTCTCTCCTATTAAACGTCTATTATCCTTAGCTGTCCTACCTTTCCTTGAAACACCTCTAATCTTCAGCAATTATATAACTTATTTGTGTTGCAAGTGCTGTAAAACTCAAATCTCTTACTAAAACTAAAAAAGCTAAATTTCTGAAACACCATCAATTTTAGAATATAGATTCTAGTGTAGTATTTATCTTATGTTACCTTTCACTTCCTACGGCATAGATCTCGTGGATCCCCGGGCGCCCGGCGACTGCTGTGTGTTGTCTCTGTTACTGTTAAGACTGACGCTCTCTCTTCTCACGTTGAGTTTTTACTTTAGTCTCCAGTCGATCTTGTTTGTACTCATCAGTGCACGGGGAAAAACTGCTACCCGTGCACAACCAATTGGCCAGAAAGTCGCCCCCAAAACTGGTAAAGTTTTGGAGACGTGAAAGGCTAAAATATTGGCCCTACACTAGTGTGTAAATATCGGTCATCAGATTCTTCTTCTTCGTCAAGTGCAGGGTCTGAAACAGCCATCAGCGGAGCGGTCATGGTGCGCCACTGACTCTTCTGCTCACATGCTCTCACAAAACCCACACCTTCTCGCTCTTTTCCTCTTGCCCATTTGACGAGATTCTCTCTGTAGGTTATTCTTAAATCTTAAGCGTACCCTTTCTTCTTTTTTGCAAACATCACAATAAATGCAGCCAAAAACTGTTGAAAAAGGCCACCCATTGTTGAGGAGAAAAGTTAAAAGTGGTTGTCTTAGACAGGTGGCCATTAGGGCAGGTTCAGCTGTAGCTCTATTTACCGTTGCCTTATGATCATAATTTTGTATTGTTTCGGTTCACAGGCAGCTGGTGAAAAGTGTTTCCCTGTTTGCTGTTGGTGTCTTCTTTGCCAGAGAAATGGCTGCAGCGAGCGCAGAACCACTGTCATGAAACTGAGCATTGAGTGAGGATCAGAGTGAACGGTACATTATTTTTGTTACTTTTTTTTGGTAAATTCTACAGTCGACCGGGCTCGATTTGATCTTGGATTGAGTTGATCTTTTTCTTGGGTCCGAGCACCTCTTCTTCTTTACAGTTCCCAAGGGTTAAGTTGAACGTCCTATAAGTTGATCTGTTTTTCACTTTCCCAACGACATCAACTCATCCCTTGTGGACTATATTTACTTTTATGCGCCTCTGTTCCTTCTATAAATCCAATTAAGATTTTTTTAATATCTATGTGTTTTAACATTCCTAAAAAGCCCCCAAAAATTTCCAACTGGCACAGTAAATTATTAGTATTATCTTTTCTTATTTTTCTTTTATAATACACCACTGTAAAATGTCTTTCTCAGTGAGATGCATGGACATCAGCGAAGGTACCGGTAATGCTCCAGAATGAATTGGTTGGACTGCTGCTATATCAGTTTGCTTGTACTTTTTTCACTGAAGTTGCTTGAATAAGCAAAAACAAATAAGAGATTTTATTTTATGTTGGTTTACGACTGTTTTCAGATTGTTTGTTTGGCTTAAAAAAGCAGACTTTGCTGTATCATTATCCTTGAAGCTGAAGTCAAAATTTACACAGCCTGAAGTAGTGAATTCCTCTAACGTCCTTGTACACAAGAGCACAAAAACCATTGTCACGTTTAGACATTCCGTTGCTTTATTATTCACTTTTTTAAACCAAAGTTTTCCGACCAGCTGTGCAGGCGTGAAATAATCCACCCTGGGGCCATGGTGCTGTGTCCCCTCTGGTGGCACTAGACTCATTATCTCTTTGTATGCTGAGTGCTTCAGCAGTGAACTCCCCTCATATACTGGGCAATTTTGTTATGGCAACATAAAATTAAGTCTACCCTGGAAAATCAATGAAAACTAACGGGCTCAGTGGCTGTTTGTGCAGTAAAAATGCCTCCTATAAAATTTCCCATGATGCATCACAATTAGTTCAAATAACTTGGAATAGTTTAGATAGAGTAATTCTTTCTATATAAAGATAGCGAGGCAGAATGTGAGAATACTTGTCACTAGTATGTGGGCAGTGCCCAGGTTTCTCCAGTATTCTTGTCAGTAGCACGCAATGAGTTAAGACCATGAGTCAAAATGAAGGACTTTCAGAGAGGAGGAGAAAATCTTTACATTTTGTAAGGTTCTCTGACTAGCAAGAGTCCCATGTTGGTCATCATTTTATTCCTCCTTCCCTCCTAAACAACATGTGGGCTCTCCTCAGTTTGACAACAAATGCAGCTCAAATTGTCCAAGGCGGTCACTCATATTTCGGTTTTATTTACTAAAAGAGGTTAAGGAGAGCCAGTATTCTCAGCGTTTGTCTTCTGTTTAACCCCATGTTAACTGCGTTTTTTAAAGATATGTGAGCCATCGTGGTGAAATCAGATGCTCGTCAAAATAATGAAATCAAAGAAACTGGCATTTTTTCCTCTCCTTGGGCAATTCTTGTCGATTTTTATTTTTTAGTCTCAACTCCTTTTCAGTCCATTTAAAACCACATTTGTTTGTGAATTTTACTGGAAAATGTTGATTAAAGGCTAAAAATGTAAATTTGTATTTTCCACGGACACTACAGCTTTGTAAGTCATCAAACTTTGGTGGTCAATTTCTCTCTAATTTTGCCCCTGATACAAGGCAACCCCCACCTCCTTTAATCGCAAATATCTCAATCTATTCTAGATAAATGGGGGTTTTTTTCACGAAATGCGAGATAAAAATAGACAAACTTTAAAACAATACAACAACTCCATATGCCCAAAAATTGACAAGGGCCTGATTCCACTATGCCGTGACACATATTTTTGTTTGCAAATGAAATTTGGTAAAATCCCAGCCCTGTAACACCCTTATTGAATTTAGGACTACTTTTGTTATTGTTGTTTTTCAGGTTCAGAGAATGGTTCCTGTGCGTGAGTCAACTGTGTGTGTATGTCACCGAGGTATGACAAGGGAAGACACTGAGCAAGATTTCTAACTTGTGTGAGCATAAAAGTTTAAGCTTTGAGTGACAAGCTTAGCATCGGAACAATAAACTTTACAACTTGACTTTCTGTTTTGTTTTGACTTCATTTTGTTGGTAGCCTACATGTATGTGTTTCCGTGTGTATGTACGAGGGTGGTTGGTGTGTTCTCCTGTGTGGTTTGCTCTTTCTTTCTTATCAAACATCTATCATCCTTATCTTCTCTTTGGGTGGTTGCCGTCAGAGTAGTCCTTCAATGGATTCCTGCCCACACTGGGATACCGGGAAATGAAAGAGCTGATGCTCTGGCAAAGAAAGGAGCTAGCCTCCCTCAGCCTGAAATTCCTACGAATTACACCACCTGCTGCCAAATGATCAAGTCAAACCTCAAGGAAGAGTGGATGAATGATTGGGCCACAGGTACGACAGGAAGGAGGATGTATGGCCACATGAATAAACCACTGGTCAAAGAACCAATCAATGAGTTGAGGAGGGGAGATCAATCCATAATCTTCCAACTTAGAACACAACATGTACCCCTCAACCAACATCTCAACCGAATTGGAGTAAAGCAGTCTGCTGCCTGCCCACTATGTGACTACCCCTCAGAGACAGTGGAACATCATCTGTTCTTCTATAGAAAACTAACTGATTTAAGGGGATGTTTTCCCAAGCTACCCCACACATCTAATTGCCTCTACTCCTCAAGAAAACAATTAGAACAAACATGCAACTATTACCGAATGGCATCATGCAGAAGAGTTAACGCTCAGATGCTACTGGATAGCTAACAACAACAACAAACATCTATTGTCCTTATCTTCTCTTTGGGTGGTTGCTGGGTGCTCTGGTGTGGTTTGCTCCTTCTTTCTTATCAAACATCTATTGTCCTTATCTTCTCTTCTTCTTCTGTTGTTTGTATGCCACTGCTACTCTCTAGAAACATCTCTAATTTTCGGCACTTGATTGCGGCGGAAAACTCTTTCTAAAACTCATGCTCATATAAATTCTGCTTTCATTATCTGTGTTGAAAGGGGGGGGGGGACCTATACCGGTCCGGCCATTCAGAGGTAGTAATAGTAATACTTGTTGTTTGTTTTGTTTTTTCTTTTTTTTGGGGGGGGGTTAGACACTCACAAGTAGCTGTCTTTTGTCGGTAGTGTAGATGTCTTATGCTCGCATCAAACATGGTAGGCGGGCTGCCTCGATCCTGCCTGTCAATATCAGAGTCAACTCTGGCTGAGAAATATATAGATAGATAGATAGATAGATATACAGGCAGCCAGGCAGGCATACAATGTATGTATATATGTACATACATACATAAACACACACACACAATTTACAAACATGTGTGCCTGCACGCACAGTGAAGGAGAGAAATAAAGAAAAACTTTTTTAAAAACTCTCAACTAAAAAAAAATTGTTGACAAACAAAAAGCCATTTCCCAAACACAACACACAGCTTTGTAAAGTCATGTCTTGAAATCTATTCAAATTACAAGAAAAACCAAATAATTCACAAAAATTTACAAAATAAAGTAGCCCTACACAATGATACATCAGCTTGGAAGAAAACATTTTCAGATTGACAGTCCATGTACAGTGTGGTACAAGTTTACCTTAGTACGTAGGTATGTACATGTATTAGTCTACATCATTTCCTCAACCTCCACACACTGGGTACAGTTCTAGCTTAAAACATTGATATATTTATAAATATATATATATATATATATATATAGAGAGAGAGAGAGAGAGAGAGAGAGAGAGAGAGAGAGATAGACAGACAGATAGATAGATAGATAGATGGAGGGATGGATGGATAGATAGATAGAGCATGCTCTTGAGCGTGGATATGCGCTATATAAATGCCATTATTATTATTATTATTAAAAATCCAGCAACATCCACATCGTGCTTGTCCTCCACCAATTGGCCCAGGCAGCTCGACAACTTTAGTATTTATAAAATTACACCTTGTTTAACAAGGTCCATGACGGTGAAAAACAGCAGGAAAAAAGTTGAAAAAGTCTTGTGAACTGTTGGAAACTGTCTCTGGTCCTCCCATTTCTGACAGCGAGGCTCCAATTGTGTCAGCGACTGGAAATGTGGCCGGTGAAGGTGCACGGGCCAGTGCTAGGATCATCTTTGGACAAGGAATTGAGGACGATAGAAATGATGGCAAATAAATTTTAGCAAACAACTTGGGTTTATAATGGCACATAATGTCGACATAAGAACGTCACTTGACAAGTAACTGAATACGACAGAAATGATTTGCAAGTAAACTTTAACAAACACTTTGGGTAGGCCTATACTTGTATAGGCTTAGGACATGACATAAGAACATCACTGGAAAAGTAACTGGAGACGATAAAAATGATGGCAAATAAACTTTAGCAAACAATTTGGATTTATAATAGGCGTCGGGTTAAGGGATAGATCTATCTTAGGACAAGTAACTGTGGATGTCAGAAATAAATCATAGCAAATCAACATATGCAAAAATAAAATTGAAATATTAGAATAGATAGATAGCTGTATAAAATGTTTTTATTATAATCTACCCTTAGCAGTCGCAGGGGGATGTGTACTTCAAGATTTCCTGTTATTTATTTGAATAAAGCCATGATATTTTCGGAATACAAGTAAGTAAGAGGTAGGCCCTAAACTCTTTTTTTTTTGGTCTTTGTTTGGTGGAAATAAGGCAGCTCTATATTATAACTCTTTTCTCTTGTCTTTTGGACATTTTGAGGGGTGGAAGTTGTGTGGCTTGATTTGATATACATACATACAGGGAAGTGACAGGGGCATAATATAAGGCCTAAAAGAGAACACAGTAATGTAAAGTTACAATTTTAGACTTTGATGGAGCTAATAGTCTGGCTGATGATTTGGAAAGGGGGGGGGTACAAGTTTCTCGAGTTGAGTATGATGATAATCGTGGACCTAGGTTTCTCTAAAAGTTAATTTTCAGGGGGGGGGGGGGCAGACAATGAAACTGATGATGAATTCAGACCCAAATTTGGATCTAAAAAGCAATCAGTATTCTTTACACAATACAATTCATTATAGTTTAAGAATCTTTATTAATGTATCTCCACACATGTGAATTTTCACAAGTTATCATTACGTGCAGCATAAGGCTCATCTTAATTCCAAATCAAGGGCTTGGGGGATTGCCCATTATCATTAAAAATAGCAAGAATAAAAGGGCGGACTTTGTGGCAAAAGGTTAACGATTTAATTCTCCATAGATCTACTTATAATAGATCTAGATCTAGATTCTAACATTATTCACTATCTAGACCTACATGAAGATAAGTTACGGCTTCAATCCTACCATCTCAGTGCAGGTGAAGATAGTGAGATTAATTAAGCATGATCCTTGTCTGGGCCTTGACAACTAGATTCTAGTTGTTGCTATGGTAAACATGCACGGTATGAAAAATGAAAACAAGCATCACTGTAGACTACAGGCCTACAAGATAAATAGCAAGAATATAAATAGATTCAGCTTCACGGGACGATGTGTATTAGATCTAGATCTAGTTGGCCTGGAATCTAGATCTTTACCTGGTTTGTGGATCTAGTCTAGATATATCTAGAAGACCTAGAGATTGCAGATTTAGATCGAGATCAGGTTGGCCTGGAATCTAGATCTTTACATGGTTTGTGGATCTAGTCTTCGATATATCTAGAAGACCTAGAGATTGCAGATTTAGATCGAGATCTAGTTCTATCTGTCACTTGTTCACCGGCACCGATCAGGAAATAGTTCCAAAGACAAAGATCAGGTTGCTTAATCGACATGATTGACGTTTGCCGTTTCTTCTATCTCCCAAAATTCAATGTCAGTCGAATAGATCTAGATCTAGATCTATATACTTTCAATTTTCAGGTTCAGATTCTTTCCTGTAGCAATCATTAGGCTAAGTTTTTTTCAGAGGCCGGCCATGGCTCGAACTAATAGATCTAGATATTTAGATCTATATCTAGATCTAGCTCTAGATCTAAATCTAGAGTCTAGACCTAAATGTCTAGTTCGCCGGCATCGAAAGTAACTTCTTATTCGACATTTTTTGACGTCTGCATTTCTTCCATCCCTAGTCAATGAAATCAAACACATAGATCTAGATCTAGATCTAGATCTAGATCTAGATCTATTACATCCCAGTTAAAATTCTTCTATTAATGACAATCTTATTAATTTTCGGTGCCATAATTGACTCAGCTGACAAACAATTGTCAACAAAGATTTTAAATCGGGGTTATGTTTCTTTAGAACGAAAGAATTATGAAATTTGTGATTTCGGTTTGTTGGCGCAGTAATTATTTTAATGCAAAGATTAACTATAAGCGAAGATTACGGTCAAAGGGAAACAACCATGAAATAACTAATGTGCCAGTAAGAAACATGAATTCAGTCCCCTAATTTGGACCGGTTACGTCATCGTTCTTTGTTTAAGCGCTTACGTCATTGATTTTAGTGTAAACACCTCCGCCATTGTTCATTGATTACACACTTCCTTATACGTCATCATCCTTTGTGTAGGTTCCTTAATTGGGACAAATTACGTCATCATTCTTTTTTTAAACACTTACATCATCAATTGTTGTGTAAATACCTCCGCCATTATGCATTGAGTACACATATCTTTTATGTCATCATCCTTTGTGTAAACACCCACGGGTCACGGGGGCATTGCACGTGGTCGTTTGTTGACATCTCCTAGTTCTGCTCGTCGTTTTATTTTGCCTAAAGTTTTGACATTTGTAGCCTTATGTAACAGTATTTTTCATCCTTAAAACTGTTTAAAGGCATCCTCAGGAGTTAATATAGTTTGTTGACTCTCCCAACTTATCAAGTCGACCTACACAGAGAACGTTAGAAAATCTCGTTTCTAGATCTAGATCTAGATATAGATCTAGATCTAGTGTGGTTTCTAACAGCTCGCAGTTCGCACGCCGTCGCGACTGGCAGGATTCATCCTAAATCATTCATATATGAGTATGGATTTTTTAAAAGCCCGTTTCCCTTCTCTTTTCCGTCCACTTTTTTTTTTTTTTTTTACATTTTTCTTTCT